ATTCGTAACCACTACGCTACCAGAGCTCCTTATAGTTGGTGGGTTTTAAAGTTTATGGTGTGACACCGTGGGTTAACGTGCCAGACTGTGAAGCCATTTGAACTGTAGGGTCGGTGGTTCAAGCTCACCATCTGCTCCTCAGAAACCCTATACAGGGTCATTATGGGTTAGAACCGACTTGACAGCATTTAACAAAACAGCTTTATTGCTGTCAGTGGTTTTATATTTTGTTGCTTTGCCCTTCTTCCTATTTTGTAGTACTTAGATATCTGGACAGAGATAAAGTCTGCAAGCAACACATACACATACTTTTAAGATTTAGTTAGTGAGTCAGAGAAGTGGTAGGTATTTTCATTATATATAAAGGAAAATGTTGAAAAGCAACTTTGTTTAATAGAGTATATAATGGTTGTGGGTGTGGTTGCTGGTTGTTTAATCTGCTCTAGATAAGATCTTGGATATAAATGAAACTAATGCATAGTTTTCTTTAATGCTCAGAAATCTTCTTTCTTATTATTTCAGGTTATATTTTATCTCGGCCAATATATTATGACTAAGCGATTATATGATGAGAAGCAACAACATATGGTGTATTGTTCAAATGATCTGCTAGGAGATTTGTTTGGTGAGCCAAGCTTCTCTGTGAAAGACCACAGGTAAACTCTTCAGGTAGTTCATTGTAAAAATGCAGCTGGGAAACATTTTAGTCCATAGCCATTCCCACTCCCTTTTGTCAGAGTAAAATTGTTACAACACATACAAAAGATAAGGGAATTAAATTTCTTGGTGATTTGACATATTGTTTGATAACTGAATCTCTGCAATTTTAAAAATTTGGGTTTGAGACCTAGCTTAGTCCTTAGTCATTTACTAGCATTGTGACAGGTAAATTGACTTAATCTTCTATAATCTTAGTTTCCCTCTTTTAAAATAGGATGATATAAATATCTCATTAGGAGGTCATGAGAGAAATGTATAGAATTATTATTATTGCACTAAATTACAAAGGCAGTGTATGTTACCACCGTGTGGTGTAAAGGCTTCAAGTTTGGTCTGTGGTGACTTTGGAGATCACTTTCTTTGTTCTAAACCTTCAATGGCACTTAATCAGTTGAATTGGACCCAAGTGACATTTCTTTCAGTTATTCTCCTGGGAACTGAAGATAGTCATTCTTACCTTTAATCTAAAATTTCTTGTCCTATTTGATTTAATACAGTGTTGAATTGAGGATGGAAGATGTATATCTTAATAAATTTTTCCTAAAACAATTATATTCTAAGTGGCATAGGAGAGGGCTTCAGAAAATTTGTGGGGAATTTTCATTATCTTTTAATTCCCTTTTTCTGTGAACTTTTTGAGGTCTTCTCATAAAGTTCGATAACATAACTAAATGGGATATTTTACAACAAACTTTGTTTTTATAAATACTGTATGTTTATTGTTGAACATTAAGAAGAAAAGACAGAAAACTAAAGAGAATAGGGTGAAAAAACCTAGTTTTTAAACTGTAACTGTAAAAACTTTAAGAAGGTAATTTCATTCGTCATTTTTATATTATGATTTATTTTAACCTAGTTGTAAACATATTTTCTGCTTAATATTATATAAGCATCTTTTCATTGGCAGACTGTGTCCGTTTAATATTCACTTATGTTTTCATTTTCTACTGGCCTTTAGATAGTTTTGTGTAAGATTTAATTTTATAAATGGAAGAAATAAGTATGTAGGTGATTTTGCACTTTAGTGGTAATGTTTGAATGCTTCTGATATTGAAAGCATAATTTTAAATTTTTCTTTGGCTTGAATTCTAATGTTGAATGATTGAATATTGGGGGAATTACTGACTTTAAAAAAAGGGATATGAATAGGAATATTTGTTTTTCATGAACTTAAGGAACTCTTATCACCAGTCCCATGGATAAAGGTAGATAGTTAGAATTGATATTTTACTCTTGAGATTTCATGGGAATTAGATATGATGTTTATGACCAGCTGAATCTGTAAAAATCATTAGATTATTTAAAAGGAAAGAAAGCGTACCAGACATAAGTACATAGAATAAGAAATTGTATCTTACTATATGAAGTAGGCTCCAGGAGGCAGAGGGGTTTTTTTTTCTGCTTCATTCTTTGTTTCCCAGTACCCACATCAGTGCCTGGGGCTAAGCCAGTAGGGGTGCTTGAATTTATTTGATTGAGCGAATCCGGCTTTTTTGTTTTTGTTCTAATACCAAGAAAAAAACAACAACTAGAGGGTTGGGCCAAGGTTGATGAAAGTCAACTTTATAATGCATTTCCTATAATAGTGGGTTTTGCATAACCCAGTACTTTTTTAGGCAGTATGTTTTTAAGCACAACACTAGAAAATTTATGAAAATGAGTATGCTCATCTGCCTCCTGTGTACATGCCTCCATCAAATAATACTTTTGTTAAACGCATGTTTATGGAAATGGAGATGTGAATTTTTTACACTAGAGAGACCTTAGAAGTAGATGTGTGTAATTAATTCTTGAGCTGCTTCAGTGCTTTTTCGAGCCTAGGCTCTTGCCAGTGATATGTAATTTGAATATAATAATTTAAAACTTTATTTTGAATGTGAACAACAGTTTATACTGGTGTACATTTAGAAGTCTGTTTAAATCCAGAGTAATACGTTTTTATTTTTAAATAAATGTTTCTTGATTTCCCCCCCTCTTCCTATCAGGAAAATTTGTACAATGATCAACAGAAACTTGATAGTAGTCAGTCAACAGGGTAAGTCATTTTGAATATCATGCTGTTACATGACATTGAGTCAGTTCTGACTCATACTGACCCTGTATATGGTTTCCAAGGAGTGACTGGTGGGTTTGAACTGTCAACTTTGTGGTTAGTAGTTTAGTACCTAACCCTATAGCACCACACCAGGACACATTTTCAAAATAAATTTTTTGTACATAGTCATCTTTTAAAATTTGCTTTAGCTGTATATATAATAATAGAAACAGTTGATAAATTTAGCAGGAGGAAACATGTATGGATAAACTAACAGCATGCTAAGATTCTAGTGAAGATTTATGGTATTTCAGTATCCTGTTATATGAATTTAATGGGGTATGTTTAAGAAGATAAGTAGTTTAATAACTTGAAAAACTCTTGCTTAGTAGAGCAAGATCACACCTTGAAAATACACTAAGAACCTTTGAGACATGTAGATAACCCATGTAGTCTCATTTAAAAGGATGGACCTATTTTTTGGGTGGGTGGGGAGCTAGAACACAAAACTTTTGTTAATTTGTAAGCAGAATTTTGATGTCTTGCCTTTTTTTTTTGTAATGCTCCTCTACCTATAAGCTTGTAGTTCTTAACTGATTATTTTTAAATCACTTATTTCTTAGATAATCAGATTATCAGGTTCTGGTCACAGAAAGATGCACATTATATGCTATTTTAGTTGTATATATTTCTTTCCTGTTAAATTGATTATTGTCTTTTAAAAATCATTATTATACACACACATATACCAGTAGAATACTGCTTGTAAATTATTATTATATACATATAGTAGAATGGTGGTAAATGTGTAATAGCTACTTTCAGGGGAAAAGCCCTGGTTTGTAGTGGTTGCTGAAGTATAGTGTAAATACTTCCATCATAACCAGTTTAGGCTATGAACATGGAGTTTGGAAGAGATGTACATAGGAGAGTGCTGATAAGAATTGGCTGCATCACACCACACATGTCTCTTCAGTATAGTTAGAGCTGAGCTCCTCATGCGGAGATGACTAGTGTCACACATTATTTTAAGCAGATACTTACACATTATTTGACCAGGAAAAAACAATCTGTCAGTAAGTGAGACCTCGAAGTTCAGACCTATGTTATTCAAGGTCACCTCTACTTCAGAATGTTAATGCTCAGACTTAACTGTTTGGTTGAAAATGGATGTAACGGGCTAGTAGTACTGCCCTTTTGAGAAACATTGGTTTCTGTGTAGAAGAAAATAGGTATTCACTCTATTTAGTTTAAGGAATATTGTTGTTGTTTGTTGTTATGTGCTGGGAGTCGGTTCCGACTCACAGTGACCCTGTACAAGGTTTCAGAGGCTGTAAATCTTTATGGGAGCAGAAAAACTCATCTTTCTCCTTGGTCAGCTGGTAGTTTCGAACTGCTGACCTTGAGGTTTGCAGCCCGATTTGTAACCACTACATTATCAGAGCTCCTTTAAGGAATATTAGTATCTTATAAAGGGAGAGTCCTGGTGTGGCACTGTAGGGTAAGTATTGGGCTGCTAACCACAAGATCTACAGTTGAAACCTACCAGTTGCTCCTCGGAAACCCTGTAGAGGGTTGCTATGAGTTGGAAACTGATTAGGTGGCAATTAACAAATATTATAAAGGTCACTGTACATTTGATAATGTTCTCAGGTAATTGCATTTATTTTTTTAATGTAAAGCTCTAACTTCTGAACTAGATTCATGCATATCAATACAAACTAAACTTGTCTGCCTGAATGGTTCTCAGTTAACTTTAGTTTATAACCCTCCCATCCATATCTGTTCACCTTTCTGAAGTTTCTCTCTTGGTGAATGGTTGGTTGGTTGGTTGGTTATGTACCATGGAGTCAGTTCTGACTCATAGCTACTTTGTACAGGGTTTCCGAGGCTGTAAATCTTTATGGGAACAGAAAGCCTCATCTTTCTCCCGTGGAACAGCTGGTAGTTTCGATCTGCTGACCTTGCAGTTCGCAGCCCAATTTGTAAACTTTATGCTACCTATTCACTCAGTATAATTTTGGATTCCTTGACCCCTTTCACCCTTGCCCTGAAGATGAACCATTAGTCTTACTGAGTTTTCTTTTTCTGGAGTTGATCTTTTTTCCATGTCTTAGTTTAGGCTTTAATACATTCTCATCTGTATTATTGTAGTTACTGTCAAATCCTGGTTTCCATGCCTCTGCTCTTTTGTTTTTTTCGTGAGAGTCACCTGTCTCTTCTCCTTAAAATACTATTTTGTTGTTAGTGCTATTGAGTCAGTTCCAACTCAGTGACTCTGTATAGCATTTCTGAGGAGTATCTGGTGGGTTTGAAACACCAACCTTGCATTTAGCAGTCTAGTACTTATACTGCAGTACCATACCAGAACTCCAAAACTATTATTTGTTATTGTTAAGTGCTATCAAGTTGGTTCCGACTCATAGCAACCCTGTATGGCTTTTCAAGGAGCAGCTGGTGAACTTGAGCTACCGACCTTGCAGTTTATACCGACCTTGCAGTCCAGCACATTAACCCATTTTTAAGAGTTTCTTACTGCTCTTTGAGGAACCCTGATGTGGTGCGTTGATGAAGTGTTGGTCTGCAAACCATAGATATCAGCTGTTTGATCCCAATAGGTTGCTGCAGAAGAACAATGTGGCAGTCTGCTTCTGTAAAGGTTTATAGCTTTGGAAACCTTATGGAGTTAGTTTTACTCTGTCCTCCATGTTCACTATGAGTCAGAATAGACTACTGTAGTGGGTTGCTCTCTGCATAAAATGGTTGCTGGGAGCTAGCAAATAAGTTTTATCTCTTGAGTTAAACTTTTCTGTGGTGGGCGACTGCAGCAGTGTCTAGGGAAGATTCTGTTATTCTGGCAGAGAAGAATGCACCAAAGTGGGAGTGAGGGCACGAGGGCTGCTTGTTGACGTTCATGTCTGTTTAGCAAGACACACAGGCTCCCTGATGATCTGACACTGTGTACGTTCCAGTAATAATGAACTACTTTCAGTTCCTGCAGCGGTTCCCTTTGGATTCTCTCCTTGTCTTCTCTGTATCCCCTGTGAAATTTTTCTAGATTTCTTGTTCTTCATACTCTGCCATCTCCCTACCAAAGGATCATTGCTCTCTTCGTGATTACTTATTTTATAGTACTACTTTTAATGTTTTTACTGTACTTACATAGCTACTATTTTTTGCCTATTAAAAATGAATTACTTATTTACATCTGCTTGGTGACATATTTAATGTTTGTTGGATGATAAAGTTATGCAAGGGGTTTGTCTGGGGCTGGTGTCTATTAAATAGCTCTTTCCTAATTTGTGATTTTTGTGCTTTTCTATCAGAACCATTGGATTCTGGTACATCTGTGAGTGAAAATAGGTGTCAAGTTGAAGATAGGAGTGATCAAAAGGTAATCTTTAGACTTCTCATTCTAGTATAATGTTTCTTGAACATTGGGGAAGGTTTACGTAAAAGAGTTTTTAGCTTACTGGTGGTAATAGGTTTAGTTCAATATGGTCTTTATCTTCCCCACTTGAATGCTTAGGACTCTGTGCAAGAGTTACAGGAAGAGAAACCTTCATCTTCACATTTGATTTCTAGACCAGCTACCTCATCTAGAAGGAGAACATTTAGTGAGACAGGTATGTATGAATAAGTGCATTGGTGAGCTTTCTGATGCTCTTTCTCGAATGAAGTAGTTAGCATTTTTAGGGTTAATATTGTTCTGCTCTGTTTGGTTTAGAAGAATTAATTTCTGATTTTTTTTCTTTCTTTTTATATGAATTTGGTTTAAAATTGCTATTTTCTTGTTGTTGCTAAAGTGCTGTCGAGTCTGTACTGATTCATAGTGGCCCTTTATGGGATTTCCAAAGAACAGCCAGTGGGTTTGAACTGCTGACTTTGCGGTTAGCAATCCAGTTCTTATCTTTCAGCGCCACAGCAGGACTCTTTGTTGGTGTTGTTAATTTGAACCTTTGTTTCTGTTAAATGATAAAACATACCAATGAGTTTAAATAGAGAAAGTAACTAGCATTCTACAAATGAAGAAATGGTACTGAAAGTAGTCAAACATTTGTACATAATAAAGAAAAAAGATGATGGGTTGTTGTCTGATCAAAAGCTAAAGTAAATGGTAACTGAAACTGTGATTCAGGTAAATGTTCTTTAGATCCGCAAAACAGAATAAACTCAGACTAGAATCTTTTAGGTAAGCGTATAGGGCAATAAGGGCAGACTGGAACTAGTGGCTAGTTACTGGGGGGAGAGGAGGAATCAAGTTTTATCTGTGCCAAAATGAATTCCATATGAATTTTTAAAGTTAAGAAAAAATTGCAACATATTTAGAAGATTCTGTTATTAAATGATGTCGTTTCGACTCATAGGGACCTTATATAGGGCTTCTGAGGAGCAGCTGGTGAGTTTGAACTGTCGACTTTGTGGTTCGAAGTCCAGTGCTGATACTGCAGTGCTACAACAGGAGTCTGTTGATACACTGTTGGTGTGTAAATTGGTTAAATCTTTGTAGTTTATTTAAAAGGCTTAGAGTTCTTGCCATTAACCCAGTATTTTCACTTCTAGAAATCTATTCTAGGTAGATAGTCAGAAATTTAAAAATTTGAATGTAGGGATATCTGTAATTGAGAACATGCCATATATGAAGTAGAGAATGCAGTCTGCCAATCTAGACCAGGTCATGGTTATCTCTTGTCCTGACCACTGTGCCTTATGATTTTCTCTTTTGTTTCTACTCTTGCTGTTTTGTTTCTTTACACAGTACCAGGAGAATTGTAGAAGGTGCGTTGGATTATGTCACTCCCCCACTTAGCTATTTTGGTGCCTAAGCATTGACTTTCAAATACAACCCACACTTTTTACCATGACCTACAAGACCCTAATCTATGTTTAACCTGGTTTCTTGCCTTTTTCTGTGTTTCAGCCTCACTGATTGATTGGTTCCTCAGATAAGCCCTCCTGTGTTAAGGCTGCATTGCACATACTTTTCAAATTTCTGCCTAGAGCTCTTCTCCCTCAAACCTTCAAGGCTAATTCCTCACTTTTCTATTTTGCTTAAATGTGAACTTCTCAGAGAGGCTGTCTCTAACCACCCAGACAAGTAGGTCCCTCTTGTTATTCCTTTTATTTTTTGGGGGCTCTGTTTCCTGCATAGCATTTATTTCAGCTGGCAAATAGCTATTTCTGTTGCCTTGATGTGTGAAGATAAACTCCCTCAGAAAACAAGGAGGCAGGGATGGCTGACTTGTCTCTGTTAATGTATTCATTGACTCATAAAGTGTCAGATGTAAAGCAGGTGCTCAAATATGTGAATTACCTAGTTTAATTTTGTTGGAACGGTTTATAAACCTGTATGATGGGTACTGTATTTGTAGCCATTAAAAATAATTTAAAAGTGTATTTAATGGCCTATGGAAATTATCATGATTTGAAGTGAGAAAACCCAACAGTTGTACATAGATAAAAAACAATTCTGTTATATCTTGATTTTGATGGTGACATTGTGTTAGTAGAACTGCTTTGTAGGTTTACTTACAATCTTTACAGAAACAAATTGTCAGGCATTTCTTCTCTGGTACTCCTGGGTAGGTATGAATGACTAACCTTTAGGCTTGTAGTTAAGCACCAAACTTCTCTGTCTAGGAACCTAGTTGTAATACATTGTGTTTGTAGCGTAGTGGTTACAAATTGGGCTACGAACGGCAAGGTCAGCATTTTGAAACTACCAGTTGTTCCGTGGGAGAAAGATGAGGCATTCTGCTCCTGTAAAGATTTATAGCCTTGGAAACCCTGTACAGGGTCGCTGTGAGTCGGAACCAACTCCACGGCACACAACCACCGCCACAAGTCAATTTCATAGCAACCCCATGTGACAGATTAGAACTACCCCATAGTCCTGGTGTGATGCTGTAGGATAAGCACTGGACTACTAACAAGGTTGGCTGTTGAGACCCTGTAGCTGTTCCTTGATGGCACTGAAGAGCAGTCTCACTGGGAGCAGATCCCCAGGCCTGTGTCTGAGGAGCCGCTGCTAGCCTCAATTAGGGTTACTGTTGGACCATCAGGACGCCTAGGTTGTACCATACAGTGGTCCCTTGTTTCCTGTTGAAAAGAACAAGGAATTGCTGACTTTGAAACATTTAGACTACCTTTTAAATAAATTAAATATTTTTTTTCTTTTTTAAAAGTAAAAGTTGGTATCTTAAATCCTGAAGTTTGGTTTTGACAGAAAAATCATAGATTGGTTAAAACTTTAGATGGACTTAATTACCTTGATTAAAGTTTTGAAAGATAAATATGCTTTTCACAGTGTTCTATACTTTACTTGGGTAGATCAAATAAAAGTATTAACTTTTGGAATATTTGTAGTGATATTTTACTGAAATTAAATTTCAGTACCAATAGGTATTTAAAACAGATGAAATTTCTAAGTAAATAAATGACAGTACAGCAAGTTGATTAACTTTTTCTTACCTCTCCAGGAGAAAGTTCAGGTGAATTATCCAGTGAAGTACAAAGAAAGCGCCACAGATCGGATCCTGTTTCCCTTTCCTTTGATGAGAGTGTTGCGCTGTGTGTGATAAGGGAGATATGCTGTGAAAGAGGCAGTAGCAGCGAGTCAACAGAAACACCATCAAATCCAGTAAGCTCTTTTAAATAAAACAAGGTTCTCTTTCTAAAATATTTAAATCTAGTTCTGGTCATCTTAGTAAGAGTACAGATTGGACACACATATGATGTGAAATTGCTGCTAAACTCAGGTAAATTTCTTTGAAATAAGACTGCTATATCAGATCTTCCCCCTCCTTTCTAGATATGGGGAGAATGATGTGAAAGCTTGTCAAGTTGCACAGGAGTATGTTGGTAAAGTTAGCATCTATATTAAGTTATTAATAAAGCCTATATGATGGAGATATAGTCAGATATAGTGCTGAAAATGAGCCCCTCAGGTTGCTAGGACTCAAAATGTGACTGGGGAAGAGCTGCCTCCTCAAAGTAGAGTTGACCGTGATGACGTGAATGGAGTAAAGCCCGTGAGAGAAAAGCCCGTGGGACTTTCACTTGTTGGTGGGGCACTACTCAAAACGAAGAGAAACAGCTGTAAACATCCATTGGTAATCAGAACATGGAATGTATGAAGTATGAATCTGGGAAAACTGGAAGTTGTCAAAAATGAAATGGAATGCATGAACATCGATATCTTAGGCATTAGTGAGCTGAAATGGACTGGTATTGACCATTTTGAATCTGACAACCACATGGTTTACTATGCTGGGAACGACAAATTTAAGAGGAATGGTGTTGCATCCATCGTCAAAAAGTACATGCCCAGATCAGTCATGAGGTACAACGCTGTCTGTGATAGGGTAATATCCATGCACCTACCGGGAAGCCCAGTTAATACCACTATTATTCAAATTTACGCACCAACCACTAAAGCCAGTGATAATGAAATAGAAGAATTCTACCAACTTCTTAAGTCTGAAATTGATTAGACATGGAATCAAGATGTGTTGATGATTACTGGTGATTGGAATGCATAAGTTGGGAGCAAAGATCAGTGGTTGGAAAATATGGCCTTGGTGATAGAAATGATGCTGGAGAATGCATGATAGAATTCTTCAAAACCAATGATTTGTTCATTTCAAATACCTTCTTTAGATAGCATAACAGA